GCATCATTTTCTGAAGTTATTAGATCTACAGTGAGCTCATAACTGTTAATTACAAGTTTTAAGTTTGTTTGTTTGTAATTAAGCACAAAGCTATACATTGGGCTATCTGTGCTCTGCCAACCATGAGTATTTAAACCCCATTTCTAGTGTTGTAAGTCCGCAGACATACCGTTGTGCCACTGGGGGCCAAGCTTTAAGTAGATTAAATATACTATATTATGCATGAGTGAATATGGGACCAGCATCAAAACACCTAAAACCAGACAAGTTTATAAAAAAATATATACATTTTATTTCAAGTTTATTTTTATCATTAAATAGCCAAGTCTCCTGCAATTTGCATTAGAGTTCAAGGATTTCAACTGCCACATGTTTTACAAATATAAGAAAAACTGTGCAGTTCACTAATGATTAACCATGAACTTTGATACACACACATATTTACATTACAACTGGTATGTGTACTCTGAACAGACAGACTATCCCACATTTTATATGTAGTCTGATCAGACACACATTCTTATATTCTATGCACAGCCAGATGACAAAATTATGCACTTATAAAAATGCATTAGTTTAGATCTTTCAAATATAGAAACTATTATTATCCTTTAACTTCATCAATTTTGCTCCAACCTCTGAAATCTGTCTTTTAAGATTTTGTTTTTTTTAACCAATAACTTATTTATATATATATAAACACAAACACACATTCTTAATGCATTAAAAAATGGAATATCACTTGAGACTAAAGTACAAATAGAATTATGCTAAACTGAAAATTATCATTTATATATTTATTATCGTAACATTTATATAAGACAATCACTAACTCTTACCTGACTTAATAATTGTCAGCTAATCAGTCCATCAAGGTCGTTGTTTTACTCACCCAATCAAAACATCAAATCCAAACTATATTTACACAACCCTTCCAACCCAAAAAACTTTAAAATAATTTATGTTAAAACACAAGTCATATAATCAGGCAAACTATATCACAAGCTCATAATTCCAATCAAGAAGTAATCTTACTAAAGAATGAGTGAGTATCTGGGCATCTACATATTAATTCACTACTCCTAATTTCTAAACTTTCAATCCCATAATTCATTAATACACCACACAACATCCAAATCAAGTCAACCTAATACTTCTTATGCTCCTTTGTCAAGACAAGTTAAGAGATCTTACCCTATTTCTACAAGATAACCCTTTCATCCTAGTATCCCTACTCTGTACCTTTTCCAATAATTCAATATCCTCTAAAATAAAGAGACTAAAACTGTGCACAGTATATATCTTATCATTAGACTAAAAAACAACAAAAAACATTGTTATAGAAAGAAAACTATTTTCTAAAATCCTGCTGATTGTAAATGATTAAATCTTTCCAGATGCTTTTTTAAAAATACTTTCAATTCCAACACATTGCTAACAACATAAGTCAAACTTATGGTCTTATAATCACACAGATCTTCCTTCAACTTCTTACACATAAAAATAGTGATAAAATTGGTGATCTTCCAATTACCAAAAATTTCCCCATTGTAAATATACTTATAAAAAATAACTTTCAAAACAATACAATATTTTTATAAGCTTAATATTCTTCACTAATTAATGTAATTCCTCTATCCACTTTTTCTTGTGGTTACATATAACAAACATAAAAACTCTTCAAATCAAATTTCATAATTTGAACTAACAGACTTCCATATTCTCTTGCTTTCTGTTTTTTTTTTTAATAAACCTCAGTATCTTTAATGCTATTAGTAAACATTTTCTCATAAGCTTGGTTTTTTCACTTATTAATAATGTAATTATTCTATTCATTTATTTAAGGATACATTTTTTAAACCAAGGATTCTAGGGGAAAGATATCCTCTTTTAAAATGCATCTTAAGCTTCATTAACATTTTTACCAATTAGATCATAATTTCTTGTAGTTTCTAGTTTTCAAAATAATTGTTTTTCAAGCATCAGCATAACAAGGTAGATTCCATACAATAAATCAAGTGCTTGTTAATATAATAGCACAGACATGCAAAAGCAAATGTTGTTGCTATAGAGGAATTTCTATCAGGCTCCTCATTTAAATTCATAGATCCATTAACACTGTTTTTATTTGTTCACACCATTATGCTAGCCACACAACAAATATATATACAACATTAATGAATCTGGAGAAGCTAGAAATGTTTGACTTTCTTTTGAGATACAAATGTGAAATGGTGGTCCCCATTGATTAGGAGAAACTCACTCTTACATTCAAAAGATAATATTTAAGAAATATTTAAAATCAAAAAATTAAAGCATGCATGAAACAACAGGTTTTAATTAGCAAAATATATTTCAGTGGAAACAAATACATATCTCTGCACGTCTAAGCAAATATTCAACACAAGTGTATCTTTCAACTTAAATGTAACCCAGTCAGTTACTGATTTTTGTAAGACATGAAGTGATCTGGAATAGCACAGAGGTACTTAAATTTACTCTTGGATTAGTTACTCCTATATAACTGCTAATAATATTTTAACATCAGTTTTATTTAATGTTTTCTGAATAAATATATAATTATGAAATTAAAAATTCAGCCTGATAACTTATAAAGCACATAATTCCAAGAAGAAGAAATCATAAATTTTTTGAAATGTCAATTCTATGAAATAAGTATTTTATTGTTATATAAATATTCCATTTGGTCCTTCAAAGCCATCTCTGTATACAGAAAAAGAAAAGTGAAAATTAAACAAAATTATTTTTCAGAAAATCATCAATTCATAACAGTATGATAATTTCTCAATAAACTTTACATTACATGTAAAACTGAGGTACCAGATATACAGAAACAGAAAGCAGTCAGGAAACTACATCAGAAATGTAAAGGTAAACACTTAAGAGCATATACATTTTAAAGTCAGTTAACATTTACCACAACAACTAACAAATGGAGTTATATTTATTTAATATTTTATTCAGGCAACATAATGGATATTACCATTAACAATTATTTGTAGCCTGGCAGTCTTTTTTTACATTTTCAATACAATATGAATTTCAAATATAATTATTACAACTAAACATAGAAGTGCAGAAAAACTATTTCAGATAACCAATTAACTCATTAAGATCAATAATAAATCCACTGAAAGTTTCACTCTTTGTTTGACTGGTATAGATCAATAAACCTTTCTCATTCTGTTTGATATATTTTTTTACTTACATAATACAAACTGGAGAATATTAAACATAGCTTTTTGATTGAAAAATGACAACTTAAATGAAAAACACAATTTATAATTATTATAAATTTACTTAAAAAGATAAAATACCTTTTGACAGAGAGAGCACTGACACCAAGCAAATTAAAATACTAAATTCTCAAAATGCATTCTATATAGAGTCACTACAGGATGGTAGTTGAAAAAATGACCCCTTATCCATATCAAATTTATTCCATTTTTCTAAGTTAAAAATTTCCCATGGTCATCCAATTTTATGAGGCATTAAAAAGATAATAATACAATTACTTACTATAAAATAATCTTTCAACACAATAAAACAAGAAACATCCCTGGGTAAATAGAAAGCAGTAATATAAACCCCTGTTTTTACCTTTTTGATAATAGTGGATTGATACTACACAAAAGAAACAATCTAACACCATCATCATGTCAAAAGTTTCAACAATGAAGTTATTTGTTAAAGTTTTATCATCTGGTTACATGTAACTTCTGGTTTGGGTTGGCCATATTTTGAAACAATAAGCATCTTTGTCTTTGGAAAATGTTCTAACAGGGGAACAAATTTCACTAATTTTACAATTAAAAATTTTGGTTAATAAACAATATTTTTCTATTGTGTTAAGTTACTATGAATTCAGTCAGTATTATCCATATTAAACTTTATAAAGTATATGTACTGTATGTATGACCATAAACAATACATATGTTTTACTTCCTTATTAAGTCATAAGTTTATTTTGGTCTCCACAAAAGATAACATGGTACTAACAAGAAGCATATGTATGATTAACAACACTAAAATACATTTCATGCCCATACAAACTACAAGTACAGCACAGTTTAACAGCAGTAATAAATAAAAGCTGGCTGAACCACTTTGTACTTAAGTTTTACTCATGAGTTTATACAAATACACTTTCAAATAGTTAACAGATAAATGGTCTAATTTTGTACAAAAGAAAGTACTTAAGTCAAGCAGGAAGCACTAACATTTCTTTTCAAATAACAAAAATGTTAGCAACATAAAGAGAAAATTAAAGATACAAACAACTTTTAACACAGAGAAGAGTGTCACAAAGATGTATATAAATAAGATTAGAAAATATGTAACAAAGTATAATAATCAATACATGTTTATGTTAGAATTAATTCACACAAAGTCCTAGAAAAAAATAACTACAGTATTTTGAGAGCATAAATACATACAAATTTGAAACAAAGCTGCTATATTGTATTCTAGCAAATATTTCTTTCTCAGTTTTTGCTATATTTATGCAACCTGTGGTACACAAGCAAACTACAGTATAACTATTAAAAAACATTAGGAACCAGACTATACTTTCAAATGATGTTAAAAACTAACCTGATTTTATTATGTGACGCGAAGGACAATTAATAATTTTTCAAACCGACTATATTTATTTTTTCTAAATATATTTCTGGTACTAATAAATCTTAGTTAACATTATTTTAGTTTTTCATGCTTTTTGAAGATTTTCTTGATCTACTGCCACCAGTAAAATAGGTTACTCTCCTCCTACAGTTGCTATAGTTAGATAATAGTAACATATATACGTGTACGTGTACTTTGTCATGAACAATACAAATACGTTGTGTTACTTGTTATAACGTTAGGCTAAAAAAACTAAAATACTTGGCCTTGACGCTTGAGGCAGTTTGACTATGCAATGATTTTCATTTACTTCTTTCAGCGTTCCGCACTCTAATGTGTGGTGAATTCGAGCTTACCTTCGTTTGGTTTCATGCTCTCCTCTGAAACGTATCTCTAAAATATCTTCTAAATTTTAAACAAAACTATTCGTGCTGAATACAGCATAATTCCACTGCTTTCTTAGACTTCTCACAAAACGTTCCCATTCTAACCTTACTCAGAATTCTGACGTTTCAGTCTTTCATAAACAGACCAGCTGATTCGCAATTCCAACATCTCAGGGCTGATGAATCACGTGAACAATATCCTGCTCCGCCCTTCTTTTTAGCCAATGAAGAGTAGAGTTGTATCTAGGCTACAAAACCAGGGGTCATTCTAAACTCTAAAGAGGTAAAATACGTTCTGTCATTGTATTGATAATTACAGAAAAAAAAAGTAGTTCCTCAGTGCTGCTAATCAAAAACAACAAATATATATATATATAAGGATTTAAATATTAATGATTCAATATTGTCGTACACGATTATATAATTCAACAGATAAATATGAATACATTAATAATCAAGATCAGTGAAACAATAACAGATAAGCATCATACACACACACATATATATATATATATATGTTTCTAGTATTATCCTTTATTCGCGCAATTCTAAAACCTCACCAGTGGCGCAACGGTATGTTTGAAAGCTTACAAGGCTAAAAACCGGATTTCAATACCCGTGGTGGGCGTAGAACAGACAGCTAATTGTGTAGCTTTGCGCTTAGCTACAAAGAAAAAATAACTTTTATGTAAACTGGACATTTATTTTTACCAGACAATTTTAAAAACCACCAATGAAAAAAAACAACAAAAAAAAAACAACGTCACAACACTTGGTGTCAGATTCGGGGTATTATTTTAATGAAAATACAATAGAGCTTCGAATATGCTTGACATAGAAATTCAATTCTTGAAGGTGGTGACCATGTGAATTTATATGTACTAAAAGTTTATATCGAGGAAGAATAAAATCGTTTAATCAAAAATGGACTTGTATCACTGCAGTTCCTCGGAAAGAATTTTACCGGAAATTAACAAACAAGCAGATATGCAACAATTAGTAGTTTTACCATAAATACAAAACACTAATATTCTTTTGAGAAAAACAATATATTGTTATGAGATTGAATTCAAATATATTTTATAGCTATGTTGCTCTGAGTATATTGTTACGACATCGAGGTCACGTGACTAGTATCACGTCACGTCATTCTCGAACTTTCACGTCTTTTCCTTAAATCTCGTGATCTTTCTAGATATAGTGTAGTCTTGTATATATAAGACCGGCCACGAAGCGACGGGGAGACAATGAGTAATTGAACTGCAGTCAGAGAGTGTGTAATTGAACTGAGTATTGTCGAGCACAGCACGTGAGACTTTCTTTGAGAATTATAGCGTTGTTATTGAGCTACTGTTGAAATTGAGTATATCGGTAAAGTTGTATTCAGAAAGAATAAATCAGTTTTATTTAAGAAAGGACTTGTGTCGCTAAAGTTTCATTGGAACGAATTTACGGAAAATTAATTAACGAACGAACGGAGACGTAACAAATTGGTATCAGAAAAAGAGAAGATGAAAACGAGAAGCGGCAAATCAAACTACAGCTTAGCAGATTTGATGGCAGCAATACAAGAACAG